CTCTGGCTCGCTGTCTGTATTACACCAGGGACAGCAGAGCCCTGGTCCTGGCCAGACACAGGAGCGGTTACTATCTGCCAAAGCTTTAAAAATAACTGCAAATTCCACAGAAAAATCTGATTACACACTAAACCTTTGGCAGCCTGAGTTCAGGGAGATGAACGTGGCTGTGGGTTATACAGCTGCCATGGTGCGCAGTATGTTAGTATGTTTAGGGGGTTTCCCCTGAATGTTAAATGGAGAACATTATGCATCCCATATGGAAGCCGCTTAATCCAAAGCTCTCGTCCATCTTCTGTCTGAATCCAGTTTTGACCCCTGCATCTCAGCCAGAGCCATTGTAGGAAAATCAGCATGTGGTAGTAAACTAATCTACTATTATCCTGTCTCATCCGCTGCTTTTTGTGCAATAAGTGTAACAATTAAAGCATGGTGCTCTGCAGAATTGGTCTCTTTTCACAGTCCGATTATAATCCTCACAAATCTGTCTAAAACCAAACCCAGAACAGTGTGATGGATGAATTCTTACCACTTCTGGTAGCAGTTTGGTGGCCAGATCGTGGATGGCTTTACCCATAATGCATAAGGAGGACAGGATGAAAACCACACCCAGGATAACACAAGCTCTGCAGAGGAAAGGAAAGAAGACACAGGCGATCAGTAACCAACAAACAGAGTGTTTTTAGTTTCTTCATTCTTTCTGAGCAGATCCTGATGCGACGGCCAACCCAAACAATAAAAGTGGTGCTGCATGGCTGCAGGGCTCGAGCCACGATTTCACAAACAATGAGGTATTAAATTCAAATTTCTCCAGGAGACCTCCAATCGATCATCATCATCATCATCGTTTATTTGTATAGCACTTTAAGAACACACCCGGCAGACTAAAGTGCTGAACAACACAGATCAAAACAACTACCAAATTAAAAATACCATAAAATCGATGACTCGCTTATAATTTTGACTTGCCAAAAAACCCAGAATCTAACATCTCATCTAAAGAGCTGTAGTCTGAGGACTTTGTGTGTAGTTTGCGTGTTGTTCCTGGGTGCATGTGGGCTCTCCTCTACAGTCAAAGACAGGCAGGGCTCTCTAGGTTGGCCTTGCCTCTAACTCCGTAACAGCTCAGGATTCAGTACGCCTGCAACCCTGAACTGGATAAGTGGGAAATAATGGCTGGACTGATCTCATCTAAAGACATTTTTAGCTGGAGTTTCTGTATATCAGATGGAGAAAAGTGAATTTGCAATTTTACACGGTTCATCCATTCAAGCTTCTCCTCCTCCCTGACTTTGCATGCATTCCAAGTATGAAAACAGTATCCCTGATTAGAGCCATACTACCAAATACTGGTCCTGACTAAAACTAAAGTCCAAGTATAAGTAGTAGATGTTTTTCTGAACACGGAAGCATCAACTTCTATGATAACTGTAGAGTGTTAGATAAAGCTACAGCTTCCTGCTACCCTAAACGATCCTCAATGACAGATAACATTTATTCAGAGTGATCCGGAGGATTCATTTGGAAGCAGCAGATGTCCTTTAAGCACCTTTACCCAATTAACAAAGTCTAGAGGGACACAAAAACCAATCGGAGCATATGTCCTGGTCATGGATGAATACCCAAGTGTACGTGTTCAAATCTGACGGCTGCTCTTGAGCCACACTTAGCATCCTGGGTTTTGACCGGATGAGGTAACCAAGGCAACCCAACATCACTCCGGGAAGTCCACAGCAGGGTGCACGAACACACGTAGACACACACAATGGAGCGCCGTATCCACCACTACAGCCCTCTATCGCTTCCTGTGGTTGGAAAATGACATCATCGCTCCGAGCTGCTGTTTACTCCACAGCAGAACAACCGAACAGCAAAAAGACCAGCAAAGTGTTCGGCTGCATGCAGCTTCTGTTTTAATGCACAGAGGTGGATCACTTATTAATATCAACACGCTCACAACAACAGCATCTCTAACCTTGGTGATTTCAATGGAGGTATTTGTGTTTTCACGTGGAAAACAAAAGTCCCCAATTTGTCTTACTTTGACACCTAAAGCTTGTTACCTTGGCAACCACTCGGTACTTGGGCATTGCTGTTCAACCGCACCTTCTCTATCATTCCCAGACAGATCAAAAAACTAAGAAAAAGAACACAGAGGCTCTCGTTGTGCATCAGTAGCCCTCTCACTCAGTCTGCTCAAAGCCGCTGGCTATCTAACAAACAAACACTGCAGCAGGAGGAAGACGCCAGGCTACAGTTAAGGTGTAAATACATGGATCCATATTTTATGCATCTGTACAAGTACTATAGTGGCAAGCAAGTCACAGGTTTAATTCCAGCCAGAGCCACAAATCCCTGTTGGGGTTGTGTCAAGAAGGCCAATCAGTGTACAAAACTCCCAAATCAAACACGCTGTGGTGGCTATGTATAAGACAGCAACAGAAAATAGCTTTATATTTAGATTTTGTTGCTCTCGGATGATTCTCATTTTTCTGTTTCAGAGTATGTCTGCAGAAACATGTCTGTGTGTGTGTGTGTGGGTGTGTTTGTGTATAGCTGTCATAGATTGTGTGAGTGTGCGTGTGATCAAGAGGAAGCCGTCTTCTCAGCGAAGCCAATTACTGGCTGAGCAGCTCCTCAACTTTGTCCACATTCTCCATTTAGCAGTGCTGAAATGACACAATGAAGACCGCTTTCAAGTGGATTTGTGTAGATGTTTTCACATGATGGTTTAGCAAGCTGTCAAATATTTATATTAAAAATACAGCTGGAATTAATCAGACCGGTCTTTAGTCGCACACTTCCTGTTACTCTGATCATTTTATGTTGTCTGTCTGGTAAATTTAGCAGTTCTTTCTGATAAACTCACAAAACCCTCAACCATAAAATTTTTAAATTTGATCTGCAAACAACTTTGGTGAAAATTGAAAATTGTGTGTTGGTGTTTAGCAAACTGTACAGCTTTTTTGGCAGAGAGTCGTCGAGGCAAACAATGTCGCTAGCTAGGAGCTAGTTAGCTTAGCATAAAGGGTACAAATGGACATAGCTAACATAGCTCTTTAAGTTAAAAGTGTATCTAAGAGCTGAAACTCACTCATTACCGCAACATATTTTCATTAACTAATATGCACACACACAAGCAGTTTGTATGGATAGCAAAAACAGCTGTTAGTTAAAGAGCAACACAAAGACAGCTTGGTTGGCTATGATACGCTCAGACTCTGGGGATTAAGGAAGACGCCATTTTTGTTTCCATTTATCATGTAAATGGATGCACACGGGACAAAGCAGAGCTAAGAGACTATTGGAGAACACTTAGATTCATGTCCTAATTTCTTTTCAATTCACAACACATTTATATCTCCTCCTATGAAGTATTTTTATTTAAATATTTAAATAGATCTTTAAAAAGATGGGTGTGGTCTGAGAACTCACAGACACTACAACTAGAATATATAATTATTAAAGTATAACAATTTTATTATTTATCATTTTATTAGCTTCCTCATGGCTTTCATGTTAAAGCAGATGCTTTGCTGTTGAATCTTTTTCCATGCACTTCAGTGTCTGGTCTCCAGAGGATATGAGCTCATCTGTCGTCTCTAAGGCAATTAGCAACTCCTGTGAGACCGTGACACAACTCCACTGTTAAGTGTGAGTCTGTGTGTACGCAGGGAGTGAAAGTTTCACTTAATCGCCAGTACGGACAAACCTAAAGATTTTACTTGCTTTGCTTTGCTTGCAGCCCATCCTATGCTGGATGAACTGGTGCAACACCGTTCAACTATTTCAGAGCAGAAGTAAAGTGATGACTGGCTCGTCTCTCTCTTTCAGTCTCCTGCTGGCTGCCAGCACTCTGACCATTCAACAGGCTCTGAAAGGGCAGCCTCCTCTCACACACACTCTATTCTCAGCCAGGTAGAGATAAGATGTGAGGCGCTTGTCTGTGATCGGTCCCACTGGGCTGAGCTTGACGGAGCTGAAGAGGCATGCTGTCTGACACACTTCTCTGCTGGACAGAGCAGACTACACAATCTCTCCCCTCGCTCACACAGGCCATTGTAGACACACTGAAATAAATTTCATCACATTGCTGGACTTCTTTTGTCTTATTGGTCGTATATATGAGACCATACCGAGGCTTCTGCAGTGTAGCTACACCTATGGTAGGGTGACCATATTTTTGATTTCCAAAAAAGAGGACACTTAGCCCAGTCATGAAGAACTTGCTTAAAGAAACATATTTAACATATTTAAACGATGCCTTCTCTGTGCGGTTAATGAATGGTGAAACAAAAATGTCATATAGGCTTTTACAAGACAACAAGTGCAAACAAATAACTTAAAAGCCTCTGGAATTAAATAATGGTGCAGAAATAAGGCCTCATCTGCATAAGAAAAATTACCAGTACTGGGTCGGTACGAGGGAAATTTCTTTTGCAGTTCATCTGAAAAGATGCACTTGCGCTTTGGGATCTTTTAAACATCATTAGGTGTGTTGCTGCGCGCTCTGTCCCGTCTGTGAGCGCAGAACAACAACTCACAAAGCAGCAGTTCAGGGATGACGTCACACACATGGGTCCTCTGTCGGAAAACCTGGACATTTTTATCAATCTCGAAAATCACCCCAGACGTCCCGAACGAAATGTGAAAAGTGGACATGTCCGGGGAAAAGAGGACGGTTGGTCACCCTAACCTATAGTATCAATTTGAAAACCGTAGGTGGGTTCCTTGGAGCTATCGCATTCACAGGACCTCTGAGTCAAACTTGAGTGTGACAATACTTCATCAGCCTTTTGATGCCTGAGGGGTAAAGAAAACTATATATAGAAGCAAAGCTGTCAAAAGCTGTATTTGGGTTTGAACTTTAATTTTAAGTATACATGAATTCATGTTGTTGCTGTTTATGGGCTGGAAGTACCCGAGCTAAGTATATAAAAATAAGATTAATCATATCTGGTCAAAACAACTTTACTTGTGCAGCCAATCTGATATTTATACAGTGCAGCACTTTACAGTGAATTGCTGGTTATTGCATCAACAGTTGTTCAGACTGAGTATATGAAAATGTTTCTGCTAAGACCTTCTGACTGCTTCAGACCATTCGCTACAAATAAATCTGGTGGTGAAGGAAAAATGTACGAGGAGCAGCCTGGCAGATGATTCCTCGATCACAAACAAATGTTACCGTTGCTAAGGAGACTGATAAAGCACATGTCAGTAATAAAAACTACTAAAAACTTAATTGATCTAATTTCCTCCAGCAAAAAAAGCATTAAAATCTCAGGCTGGGGAAAGTTTTCTGCCTGGGATATGTATGCTTTCTTTGATGGAGGAAGTTTTCATTTTAAATCAAAAGTACCGTGTATGCCACAGACAGTACAAACGATTGATGTAGCTACCGTGATGCCGTCCGTTTGCTCTCTGAAGTTCTGTTTTGATTGTGTTTGGTGATGCGAGGGGGCAGAGACCTAATGCCTTTTTGCAGCAACACCTGTAGCCATATGGTGGCTAAGACACACTGGCTTCATTTTTCTGACCCAGAAGCTACGTCCATGTTTTATACCGTCTGTGGCTTATGCAGAGCATTATAAATAAAGGGGATTTTAGCCCGGGTCAGAGTGGATCGGGGTGAAAGGTGATCATACTTACATGTACTCGCGGTGCGCTGAGTGGACAGCTGCGGCGTTGCTGTATCGCCACAATACAATCACAGATGACAACACATCCAGCGTGGCATCAAACTGCAAAGTGTAAACATTGGTAATTGGGAATTCTATCACTACAATTTCTACTTTTAATGAAGTAGAGTGTTTACTCTGGACTTACGGCAAATCCAAAAGCTGAAGCACTGTGGCGCATCATAGAAACAGCTAAAGAGAAAAGAGAAAAACTTTACTGCACTGTTCACGTTCATCTTCACATCAGAAATAATCATTTGAGTGCCTGTAGCTGCTGTAAGCACAGAGTCAGTCTGTGATCGTTTCATTTAAAGTAAACAGAGATACAGTATCTGATTTTTGCTCCAGTCTATTTAACTGCAGCAATGATTATTATTATAATCATTTCTAGTTTCTGCAGAGAACCTGCTGGATTGAAAAACAAGCACCGTTTTTGACTGGTTAATTTAACATCTGCCTTTTTATTTGGATTAACTAAGCTGTAGAAATGGTCAAAACAAACACTAAACAGCACAGTTATATGCATCCACACACACCTGCAATGGGAGTGAATGATTAGAGAAGGAAGAAGAGACAAAGCAGAGAAAGATGCACAGAGATAGACAGGAGGATTCCTCTCCTCCCACGTTTATTTTTAGCAAGACTCACAGGGGGCTAGCAGCTCGCCTCAGCCCTGCATGCAGAAACACAGCGCTGTGTGGTATCACTTTCTCTCTTTTCCCCTTTAGCAACACATTCTAGTTGCTGCAAAAACAGCAAAAATCTTTTCTTTCTCCTATCCCTTTTTGCAGTCTGAGCTCCCTTTATTTTCCCCTCCAGCCTCCCAAGCTCCCCTCTCATCCATCTTCACTTTTCCTCTTATTGTTTCATCTACATTCGGTTGTTCTCTCTAGGCTGAAGGCACAATCACCCGCTCGCTTGCAACAGCTCAGACTGAAACGAGAACAGAAACAGATGCTGCATCCACATTCTCCTGCACGCAGTTAAGCAAACATCGCCAACCCTTGAATACAAATGATTGGAAGGGATACTGTTCTGACACAGAGATGCAGAGTATCAGCAGCAGACCTGTTGTCATTCCTTCTTGGTGTGTAACTTTATGCTCACCAAAAAATACTGAACATGGCTCACACATTAAAAGTATGGCCTCCAAACTGCATTATAACTAATGCAGTTTGGCATGTATTTACTGATGATGCCCTCAGCTGAAGCAAATGCTCCCTGACAGGTTATAACCTTACATATGCTCGCCACACTCCCATTTTATGGATTTACTATACATCAAATGACCAGAGCACTTGATAGGTTTGTAGCTCGAACCTATTCACTGGAACGTTGAAGACAATATAATTACACCGCAAGCAAGACACGAAGTAGGCAAAGTTCTTCATGTTTCTCGTGCACGAGAGAGAACCGGACAAACACCGTTCCTTCGCTTGACCCCAGTTGCTCTCGTTCGTTCTCCCGTAACACTGTTCTTTTATTGAGGCTACATGAAAAGCAAGCACATCAAAATGATTAAATGCATCTTAGTAATCAAATTAAAATAAATTTAAGCAGTAATAAAAATATAGAAAAAAGAAATCTGCAATCTCCTTTGCAACCCACCTGCACCCCAGGTCCTCCTTTCATGCTTTCATATCTGTTGCTCACTAGAACTTGGCCTTCCTCACAAATATAAATTAATGCAGATGGAAATATCAATTTTCTTTGGAGTCAAATGGTCCAGACTGAAATTTTAAGCTCCATATTTCCTGCAATAATTGAAGATTTGACGCTTTTAGTTGCTCTTTTTGAGTTTTATTTCACTTAAAGCAGCTGTTTTTACACAAAGGATACTTAAAGGTTGTCTCTCAGTGGCTCCCATTATTTCACCCCTCTATACTTTAATCATTTCATTAGGATGAAAATAAAAAAATAAAGTGTAGCTTTAATTTTGGAAAGCCACATCCAAGCTAGTGGATTTCAGTGCAAGCCTCTTTGCAACCCACATCGACGCCGTTTCCTCCACTAATTCTACTTCTAACTTAATCATTGTTAAATCGATGTCTGCTGTGTTCTATGCTGGCTTTGCAAAGCAGGTCCAGAACAGAACCATACCACCAAAAACAAACACAGTCTCTGACTCAGCTAATACAGCATTCGCATGTTTTTAAAACATCCAGGGTGGGGAGATATATTTAAAGTCAGAGCTTGTGGGCCTCATCTCTCCATGTGTCAACAATACACGATCTAGCAAACAGAACCTGGCAGCTGTTGAAAGCTGCTTAAGGTAAATAAAAAGGGAGGGGCACCGAGTATCAGTCATCGGCCAGAATTGACATAACGAGGCAAAAGTAGGAGGTAAACACTCCTTACACGTAAATGACTTGCAGTGACAGAGGTGAGCATGTATGTGAGAGTACAAAAAGATAGAAACAAAGGCAAGGATTACACAGAAGTGCCTTAGTTTAGCTGTCAAATGCATTCCTGCACACTCAAGCTTGATCCAAAACCATTTGCTGCAACATCAAGGGAGCAGATTTGTATCTAGGACTACGAAACTGAGCTGACAGCATCTATTTTTCAAGTTAAATTCTCCAGATAGCTGAAAAGACTTCACGTTCCTTCATCGTGCAGCCTCCTCTCATTCTACCATGTCAGTTTAAAGATTTCTTTTGTGATAATGACCCCACACATCTGACTGTAATATATATCGTCTGCTCCTCTTCCCTTCTCCTCTCTGTCCTCCCTTCCTCTCTTTCTGGCACCTTCATTAGCCGCAGAGAGAACAAGTTGTGTATAAATGAATCTGCTGCGGTTCTGCGGTCGTCAAAGCCGAGCCCAGCGATGACTAATTGGCTCCCAAGAAAGCTGGGTGGGTGTCAGCCGGGACGGACCTGCAGCACGTCAGGATATCACACACATACACACACATGTACGCACAGTGCTACTCTACTCTCCCTCTTCCTTACTTCTTGTCACATCTAACAAGACGAGCAGGGGAAGAAAGGATAAAACGCTATCCGAGCTCTTTATGCATATCAATGAAACGCTTCACTGTCAAGTTGTTTTTTCTAGTTGGTGCAGTGATGGCGCTCGTCTGATTGTCCCGTGTGTACCAATGCATAGGCCTTGTCATTAAAGCAGCAGCAAGTGGCTCAGTTACAAGTTTCTTCTTGATAATAAAACATGAGCTGGAGATCTAAAAGCAAACCCTGACAAACATGCAGTTCACTTTCAAATAAACTCTCACTTTTGTATTTTACATAATGCACTAAATCGCATCAAAAGAAAGAATTTGCACCGCTGTCATCTGTTACTTCACACTTCATTGGACTTTTTTATTTTGTGTTAGCCAGTTGTGAGCAGTTCTCTTTATGTTAATATTCATCTTCAGTAATGATTTTCAATCCCTGGAGTCCTCATACACACAGTCTCCTCCCAGCAGCTGATGTTGACACGTGTCCACTCGTTGAACTCATGCAGGCTCTAATCTGATGTTCTATTGACTTCTGGCTCTAGCAAATTGAAGGAACTCTTCAGCCAATCCTCACAACACCAGTTCAACCAAACCAATTGATATTTTTTGCCACTGTGAATTTGTAACTACAGCCAGGTGCCAAACTGCTATGAACCCAGTCTAACGTTAACCTTTCCTTCACTCAGTGTAGTAAAGCTTTTAAGCTGAGAACTGACATTTTCCCCACTGAGATGTTCTTTTCTGTAAACTAAAAAGCCGCACCTGCCTGCCTACAATAAAGGTCACACGCACTTGGTCTTTTCCATGTTTGAGTAATGCTAATGTTTTACAGCATCTATGTTACCCAGAGACTGTTTCATTCTGTCATCATGTAGAGCTCACAGAGAACAGCAGCAGGTGGTGAGGAGTGGACTGACTCCTCGCATAGCTCTGATAAGTCTGTGAAACACTGTTGGACCTCAGGGTTTGAATCCTAATGAAGCCCTTCGCACTGACGTACAACTACTGTTCTTTTGGGTCTTTTTTAACCTCTTAATGTTTGTAATAAGCCGAACTTTCAGACAGAATTTAGTTAAATCTCTTAACCAACTAAACTGTGACTTTGTCTAACCTAATACTAATTATTTAAAGAACCACTTTCTGTCCATTCATCAGTTTTTCACCTGTTCCAGAAACAATTTAACCAATCTGATTGAAACCTGCAGATATATAAGGCTGGTGACCTGAGTAAGCAACCCTGCTGTTGGGGTTTAGTTGGGGTTTTTCCACGCCTTCTCTCTGTGTGTTTTGTGCATCACAAGTCCTTTAGCCTCTTCCTTTTAACAGTGTTTTCTTTGGTGTGGTTTAGGTATGCTGCCCTATGCAGGAAGCTCCTTTATAAAAACAGATCTTTCCAGGGAATGTAAACATGTGGCCAAACATACAGGGAGTGCAGAATTATTAGGCAA